TATAAATTTGTTATTTTATTATTTAACCATGTATAATATTGACATTAGGTGAGTAATATTGTGTTATCCAAAATATTGGTTTATGTTATTAATTAGTACAAGATTAGAGAAAAAAAAGAACGCCTATGATATTATCAAGTTAATATGCTTCCATTAATTCAAATAAAGGTGCTAATATACATCCACAGACCACAATTAAAACCATATGAGTGATATACACTTTCACTAAAACAGTTTGTGTTGCTTCTTTTACAACAGCCATGTCCAACTCAAAGTATTAACTGGGCAATATATATTAAAATTAAATAGTTTACTATGCCTGCACATAAAATTTTATCGGTGGAAAATAGATTTTACACACATTTTTTAATTTTATTCATTTACAATACTATACAATACTTATTCGATTACAGTTTATCAGAAGATAAGACAGAAAAGTAACATAATATTTAACTTTAACTAACATAATCGATAAATGAAAGAAAAATGTCTTGAATGTTTATTCATATTGCTATCCAAATTGCCACACGTTGCGAGTTTGACATGCCTTGTTTACATGCATAGTTGTCAAACCGATTTACCTCAAATCAATATCATAGTACAGTTAGCCTAATTCGGTTGTAACTTGTAATAGCGTTTTCTGTTTAAATGTATTTTGTTCTCCCAGAGTTATTTCTTATGCACATTTTGAATTTAAATTAATTTAACAGTTTTAGGGTAACCCAGATTTTAATTAATCAAAACTAATAGCCATATACATGTATATAATTAAGAAAGTTAACTAATTAAAATTAAGGTGGATCGGTTAAAGCTGTACATGTAAACATGGTCAGGATTGGGGTCTGGGGTCAGGATTTATATGTTAAAACCTTAAAACAAAGTTGAAATATGATGCTAATATTCTTTAAAAAACAAAAAATATGTTTTATGCTGATATTATTTTTTTTTTTTAACAATAGGTTTTAAATATTACTTATTATTTAGCTTAACCAATAAATGTATTTAAGGATAATTTGAAATGGTAACTATGGAAATTAAAAAAAAAATTATATGACAAAAATAGGCCTTAAGTGGTGAGGAATCCCCCCTGCCATGGCTTATGAATAATAGTTGTGTCTACACATCTATACTCAATTCAGAACAGGCGCATTACCAGGGCTTGTTTTGGTGCACCCCCCGGCCATAAAGTCCATAAATATTAAATATAGTAGATGTGTGCCATTGTGGCCCACCACCAGTTTGTATTTAAATATTGAATTAAAACACAAGTCTTTAAAAATTCCTGGCCACATGCCTTATTCAGAATAAGAGTATACCAGTTTGCATATGCTTATTTGATAGGCAAATGGTGGAAGTGAGAAAACATGTGCAAACTTGACGAGTTTTTATCCATTGCCTGGTTAAATATTATTCTAAATAGAGTATAGATCCATTGACACACTCTACCAAAAGTCTATACATAAGACATAGGAAAGTGAAGATGGTGGTGAATTAAAAACTAATAATTTTATAGCACAAAATATTAATTATCATTTGAAATTAAAAACAATAACTTTAAGTGGTTTAGTAAGCAATTATATAATAAGTAAATATATTTATAAGTCACCACATTTAAAAAGAGATTCTGAGCAAAACCCACATAATGTAGGTTAGATTAATGACAAGTTTAAGAAGATGGCCAAACTACATAATACCCTATTAAAGAGTCAATCTCACTAGGAATACATTATATTTATAGTTGGCTAAAAATATTCCAGAAAAAAAATGATGAGGCTAGCAGTAGTAGCAAGTAGCAAGTACCAACAACTTTTGTGCCTGACACGCAAAAATATATGAACACACATGTCTTCATACGGATACCAATTTATGTCTTACAAATTTATTGAACATACCACTACATCGGTATGTCACAATAAAGTTTAACAAATTATTCAATAATAAACAATGTGTTGTGTTTTTAAACCTCCATCTTAATCACAACTCTCATTTCAACCGAACTACCACGGATTCTCTACCAAGACTGCTGCAGACTGTGTCAAAAGCAGATAGTGGATTCGAAAAATAATACTGACATGAATATAAGCTTTCATATATGTCATGTCTTAAATATGAATTATAATAATTATTTATAACTAGCAAAAAAATAATTTTAAAATTAAATTAGTTTATAGTTATTATTTTATAATTACAGATCACATGAGAATCCATATCCTTCAGCATCATCAAACATATTTACTCTTAATACTTCTGGAGCTAAATAATTTGGTGTGCCACATAAATCTAAAAAAAAGTGTAATAAATGACAAAAAAAAAATTAAAAAGTTGATAATAAAATGGTAACTGATCATCGGAATGGGAATATTTAGTTTCTACAGAGATATAAATTTGAAAACAATAATTAACTATATAAGATTAAAATAACAATTCTGAACATACTTATTGATATTTAATAAAAGTTGTTTGAATATTGTTGTCATTATTTCATAACATATTTAGAGAAACTACAGAAAAAAACAACAAATAACAGTCATCAAATTAAAATTTGTAAATTGGATCAATTTCTAAGTTTGTGGGTAATGAAAAAGGCTACTTACTACTTGACATGTATAGAATACTCTACTTAAAAGTATTTATCCATAAAGAAAAAATTAAAATTTACTGTAAAATCAATCACTTTAATCAAAACCTAAATATATAGCATTACAGAAATATCAACAGTTAAATAACAAATTTAAAGAGTTTTAACATTTAAACATAAAAGCAATGTCTTCAAAATATTTGGTAGGTAGTATGAACATTTAAAAATTATTTGTAATTATTAACAGTTATTAAAAAATTATTAATATTTAGAACCTAAAATGGTTATCCATTAAGATATTTAAATAAATAATCTTACCTAACAGTAATACCAAATGTTGAACATTTAGATTTTATTTTTAATCTTGAATATGAATACTAATATGGCAATGAAAAGATTTATACCACTTACATATAACATATTGTACAATTGTTTGAACTTACCTCTGAGTAATTGATTAGGTTTTAAAACACTTGCAAATCCAAAATCAGTGAGTTTTATATCCAGTGAATCGTCGAGCAAAATATTTTCAGGTTTAATATCTCTATGTACAACACCTTGTCTGTGGACATGTTGCAAAGCTTCAAATAATTGTCTCATTATGTACCTAGTTTTTTTCTCAGACAATGTTACAACATTGGTTAAATAATCAAACAATTCCCCATTTCTGCAAAGTTCGAATACCAAAAATATGAATGTCTCTGACTCGAATACATCATGTAAATGTACTGAAATTAATTTTTATAACATCATTAAATATTTAGTAATTTATATTGATATACATTATATAATACTAACTAATATATTCATGTCCAATAACCATTCTTAGTATGTTAATTTCTTCCAGAGTAGCTCCTCTATTTTCGGGATCATTACTTAGGTCTATAATTTTAGCCGCAAATTCCATGCCAGTCTCTTTTTCTACGCATCGTCGTACAGTCGAACTAACACCTCTATAGTATAAAATCATTATTCAATAAATTGATTGAACCATTGATTGTATTAATAACAATTTAATAAATAAAAACACACCTGCCCAATATTTCTTTGGGTTCATATCTGGCATAAAATTCTTTGGCCGCATCTTTGTCAGGTAGTTCGTCATCTTTGTTGTCCATTATTGTTAGTCAAATAGTTAATGTACACTAGACGTCTGGATCGGATTACTATTCCTAATTAGAGAATATTAATGTGGTATTGTGGTGTATTCGACGACCTGATTATAAAAACTTGCACGGTCTGGTGGGAGTTCAAAGGTTTAAAAAAAAATTAAAAATAAACCATAAGGTTGTGAAATGTGAAATCAAAAAAGAAAAAGATAAAATTATCAAATAAAAATGATAAGGAAAGCAGTTATAATTATTGATAATTTGATATCGGGTGTATTTAAATTGTGTGAGTAAACAATTAACAAATTGTAATAAAATGTTTTTCCTTGAATAGGTCATACGATATAGTTGTACCTCCAAACTACTTCCTAGGTACCTAAACCTAATAAAGTAATAAAGTAATTTATTTATTATTACATTCATAATTTACATATCGTAATCAGGTTTATAATAACATTTGAAATATATACCTAGTAGATGAATACTATTATGATAGTGTAAAAAAATATTAAAAAAATTAAAATTGTAATCAATGATTAGCTATTGCCTATTGGGTATTCAGGTACCTACTCTATACTTTTCTAATCACCAATAAGTAATAACTGTTCACACTAATAACCTGTAGTTGTTAGATATAAATTGAGCTAGAAAATACCTGAATAGGTACTGAAATACACATTTTTTATGATTTTAAAATTTAAACATTCATTGTGCGAATACGGAACAAAACTTATAAAACTATCATGTTTTAAAAATCTCAAGACGCATTTTCAACAAGGGATTTGGATAGACGATGAACCGTTTTTAAAATAATTTTGACGTTTGTAACCATATATTATAATGGCTCTAAAAATGAAAGTGCCTGTAATACAATAACGATTAACGAGCTAGGTGGGCTAGGTTAGGTAGGAAATTGCATAATTTGGAAATTTAAAAAACAGTTGAAAAATACAGAAATTTAGTAATGTTAATTGGAACTATTAAATTCATACTTAAGTAAATTTTGGTTGTAGAGCCATTTTATGGTTCAAAGGTTAAAATGACAAAAAAAAATAGTACATACAACATATGATATCTACAGTGGAAAATACCTGTAACCGTTAGGTACCTTACTATTTCAAAAAAACCATGTTCTATTGTGTATGCGCAGTGCGCACAATATTCATAAATGTTAAAAATTTGAAAATCTTCAAAAAATGTCTTTTAATATTCTATATTTCTATAGCTGGTTAGATGAGTTCAAAATATAATATCATTAATAACTACAATCAGTTATAACTTTAATTATTATTATTTTTTTCTTTATTAATATATATACACAATCTGTACCTCTGGCACAACTTTAATTATAATTTATAAGTAAAAAAAGTACAGTAGAATTCTGATTATCCGAACGCTAATCAACCGAACGTCCAATTAACCGGACGAAAAAAAGATTGGTCTTTTATAATAACTCGTAAATCATGATTAATCATAATCGTAATTGTATTTTGTCTTTAAGTTTTCAGTTAAATATTATAATACAATTATTTGTTTATTATTATAAATGTCAAACTATACTACATACATATAAATAATAAATATATTAATACGTACAATATATTCATACAATTACAATGTAAGTTATAACTTGATATGTCATATTCTAATAATCCGGAAATTTGCCTACCAACCTTGACATTAACTGTATAGTCTAGATAATCGGAATTCTACTGTACCTACATAAATATTATAGACAAGAAAATGGTACCTACTAAAAATAATATTATATTTTTGATTAGATTACTTACCTATAAATTACCAAATATTAAAGTATAAAATGTATTATTATATACTAGATAGGAATCTATAGAATCAGAATAGAGTATAGGTAGTATATTATACAAAGTGTTAGAATGTTGTTGGATTTAAATAACTGTATTTATTATTAAATATTATATTTTTTAAATTGACTTAATATAATATTATGTAATTTAACAAAAAAAAAAGTGTTTCACATTGAGTTGGCAGATTTTGTACACAAATCTATAAATAAACTCATATTTTTATCACTGAGCCAAGGAATAACATTGTTACATAATTTCAATGGGTTCTGCAATTCGATTCTGTTGAAACTGCCAAAATTAGAGTTTATCAAATTTTCACTTTTTTCAAACTTCTCAATTTGACATCGATAATTTCCCGTGTCATTAACTTTAGTTATAAATGTTGAGTAAAATGTTTTTTTTGGAAGTAATTCACCAAGTACAGGACACAGTACATAGTATTGTAATTTGATAGAGTTTGAATCTGAGTAAAATTCAAAAAAATAACGAAGTAATTCCCATGTTGAAAGACTTGATTTGGTAGACATTTTTGGTTTTAATTGATCATGATTAAAACAAATACGTGTATCCCAACCTTATAAAAAAAAATATTTATTTACAAAATTGAAAAAACTAATAATTTATTACTATTATCTATCAATATTCATTAGTCATAACTCATAATTTATATTAAGATTATATTTATTATACCTTTTATTTTTTACATATTTGTTTAATAAATAATTCAACAATTAATAGCATTACACATAATTGCATAATGTAGTATCTATAATATAGCATACATATAATATATGTATAGAAAATTTGTACTGTACACCAATGAATATCTATAAATGATTTATTTAATTTAAAAGGCAATAAAAAAAAGATTATAAAATTTAGATATACGCTCAGGTTAAATAGCTAGGTACCTAATGTATATCTCACAATGTTATGACTCATAACTTATGAGATTCACATACATTATAAGCTGACTTTCAGTCGTTCAGACGTTATAAATATTATTAAATTAATCTTTATATTATGTATATTTATAATCTATTTATATTTAATATAGTTAATAGAATTGATTATAAATACTACCAAATACCAATACCTTATATATTTATATATAGGTAAATACTAAATAGTAAAATACTATAATAGTATGTTTATTATTTAGAATTTATAATGAATATTAATAGGTAGTTATTATATAAAAAAAGGCAAATAGGTAGGTCATAGGTAGTATGATATAGGTCCTAACCCCTAGGTACCTACTACCTATATCTAATTTGTTATTTATAAATTAAAATATGTGTGAGTGTTGCAGTGTGTCACATTGTGTTAAACGGTCCGCTGCCGCCTATGAGGGTACCACACGATTGTGTACGATGTATCTTTTTGAGAACACGATTGCGTACGTTAAACCATTAACTTTAATATTTACCCCAAAAGTCAAACGATTGCGTATGATTTACTGTGCAACGTTGCCAAATGTATGTTTTTATTTGTGATCAGTAAAATTTAAATATTGGAAAAATGACTTAAGTTATGGTACCACTTGGACCGATCTTAGACAATTTCAAATTCATCATATTAGAATTTATTTTTAGGGCCACGCACTTGTTTCTTAATAATAGTCGATCAATAAGTTGATTAATAAGTCAATCCTCAAAGGTGAAGTATATTTTTAGTAGATCGTGACCAAAAAAAGTTTGACTAGCCTATGAAATATTCAATTCAAAAATAAGCCTTGATGGTTATTAAGACCTTTTTGGTGGGTAGGGTTTATTAGCTATACAGAGTGTAACAGAAAGCCTAATAAATAAAATAACTTTTTTTCGTTTGTATATCATTTATTGACTCTTGCGCTACAAGTATAATGAAATTATTTTTATTTTTAAACTGGAGATGAAAGATTTTAAATCTGATTTTTAGAAATATGTTGATCGTAAAAATATTTATTTAAGTCACGTAGTTTATTTTTATAATTTTTGAAATCTTATTCATTTTGTTAAATAAAGTTGGCCCAGTAACATTTTAAATTCAAAAAGTATAAACTTTTTTTAAAAATTAAGCTTCTTGACTTGGATAAATATTTTTAAAATCAAAAGTTTTCTAAAAAACCAGATTTTTCTTTTTATATTTTTGTTTCTATAATATTTATATATGGTACCTATAATATGTCCTATATGGCTATATATGATATAAAATACCTATATGGGCAAACATTTAAAAATATGATATACATATAAGCAAAATTGAACGACAACAAAAAATTAATATTCATCTATCATATAGACTAGTTATAGACTCGTACAGACTCGAGTTTCTGTTGAAAAATCTTACCTTCAGTATAATTAGGTGCATGTTTGTGATGCAATTTCCATAAATCTATAATGGGTGGAACAATTTTAAATTGTATCATGACGTATAAAACTAACCAAATTAGGGAATAGGTGGAAAAATCATCACATAACAGTTTGAAAGAACCAGCCCAATGTTTAACTGCGATGACTACCCAACGTACTCTTTCATCCATGGATAAATATAATCTAATACAAAATAATATATATATTAGTTTATGAAACATAATATTATTTGATAAAATTTAATTAAAAACCATTAATTTAAAGTCGAAATTCAAATTTTTTTTTTATATCCTCAGCGGAATGCCCGGAGAAACCTATTGGTTTTTGATATATTTGCCCAAGGGCAAGAACAACGGTCTAAGATTACTATTGTTCATTATTTATAATTTATCGAAATCTCAATCTATACTCAAAAATTATGTCAATTTAAGTAATATAATATTGCTCCAAATTTGGCAAAGGCACTTGTAGGACTTACTTGATAAGTTCCGAGTTAAGCACAGCAAGACCACTCCTAAATTGCAGATCACAATTAAAATTTGTGGAATCATGTGTAAAGCGTACTATTGGTACTCGTGTTCCTGTAATAATTTCCAACCCAATAAATTCTTTATTCGCTGCTTTAACAAATAAATCAATGAGTTGTAGTTGTCGCGTGTAATTATCTGCGATTTTTCCTGAAAAACAATCACCTAAGACACAAAAAATTAAAATAAATAATTACTTATGTTTTAATTATTATTTTATCCAACTTTATACTATTCATTTATCATTATACTTTTTCACAATATCAATAAAAAAATGGAAGTGCTGAAACCCTTTATTTTTTTCAACTTCCCCACAAATAAATTATTGAAGTGTTAATTTCAAAACTGAGGCTGCTATAATTACAACTAACCCCCTTAAAATTTGCTCACGATTATGTATATACAGGGTGTTTCTGAAGTGTGTGAAGTAATTAGTATACGCATGTTCACTGTGATGCCATAATGAAGATTTTTTTGGAATTTTTTTTCTCATTTCATAATCTAGGTTTTTTAAAGTTATTTTTAGAATATTATCTTGAATATAAAAATAAATACTCTAGTCGTATGTCTTGCAAAATTCTCATAAGAATCGAGATATCGCATCATTTTTACGCTTGTCGCGCTCGAATCGCAACCAAAAAAAGTCGTGTGACACATCGATTTGTATGAGAATACTGCAAGATAACCAGTGGTGATAATTATTTGTTGTCATTGACAGTACACGATTAATTAACACATTATTGTTTTACATTGTCGACTAATAAAAAATATGAAATAATAACAAAATTAGGGTTTTAAACGATCAAATTTACCAGCATACATTTGTGTCATACTTTTATTAAATAACTTTTAACTTTATAAAGTTATAATAGTTAGAGATAAAAGAAACTACCTATTTGTATGTTTATACTGAAATTCCAGTTTTTAGAAATCATAGTACCTAACATAATTATTTTGACTCGATAAGATAAACTAAATTAATTGTGACTAGGTTTAGCTGATGAAAATGGAAATCTTGCAGCTATGTTATGGGCAGAACGTAAATAATAATAATAATAAAAATGTTTATCTTATCGAGTCAAAATAATTATGTTAGGTACTATGATATCCAAAAACTGGAATTTCAGTATAAACATACAAATAGGTAGTTTCTTTTATCTCTAACTATTATAACTTTATAAAGTTAAAAGCTATTTAATAAAAGTATGACACAAATGTATGCTAGTAAATTTGATCGTTTAAAACCCTAATTTTGTTATTATTTCATATTTTTATTAGTCGACAATGTAAAACAATGTGTTAATTAATCTTGTATTGTCAATGACAACAAATAATTATCACCACTGGTTGTCTTGCAGTATTCTCATACAAATCGATGTGTCACACGACTTTTTTTTGGTTGCGATTCGAGCGCGACAAGCGTAAAAATGATGCGATATCTCGATTCTTATGAGAATTTTGCAAGACATACGACTAGAGTGATTATTTTTATATTCAAGATAATATTCTAAAAATAACTTTAAAAAACCCAGATTTTTGAAGTTAGAAAAAAAAATTCCAAAAATATCTTCATTGTGGCATCAATATGCGTATACTAATTACCTCACACACTTTAGAAACACCCTGTATATTATATACGGCGTACACATATGTGTTATAAATTATAATATATTCGACATTCGATATAAATTATCAACTTACCAGTATCGAAATACAAATCCACATCACTATCATCTTTTGCAATTCCATATGAACGAGAACCATAAATATAAACTCGTCCAAAATTTTCCACACAGGTTTGAATAGAATGTTTAAGCTTTTCGAGCCGTTCTTTAACTACGGGATCGTTGTTTATTAGATCGATTGACGATATTAAACATTCGATTTGATGACAAAATTTGCTTTGCTCACTTAGCAACTCTAAATAGTGAAAATTTTAAAATACAGTACCTGATTAGTAAGGAGCAGATGTTTATGCTTTAAAAATCGAAAATACGCATCATCGCCATCATGCAGCTATGTGCTATAAATAATTATACAAATATGCTAAAAATGTATTCAAAATATGCATTAATAAAAATTTATAATTATTTATTAATTTAAGCTTTGTTTTATTTATTAAAAATTTAAAGTAGTAAATAATTTTTAAAATGAAGCTATGTGCACTTTCCGTTAATCTGAACATTTGTTGCTGCAATATAGGATAACGAAAATCCATAAAAATATGCACTAAAAACATGACGAATATAAAAACTTGATCCATCATGTATTCAACAAATATTCAAAAAAATTTAGTTGTTAATTTGATGTCTTTAAGTACCTAATGAAATCAATTTCTTACTTCCTCAGCATTAATTTAGATTTTAAAAAAAAATTATGAACATTAGGTCCTTACTAATCAGTGTGCTTTGTAGGTAGGTATTTATTAGTATTTATGTATGCACGATATACCTACAAATAATATATAAGGTATGTCCATTGTATAATATTCAATAATCATTTGATTTTTTAAACATTTTTAGTTGGTAAATGATGTACAAAATGTACAATATTTACCAAAAATAATTAATTTGATTTGAACGGCCAAGTAAAACGTTCAAGTTTTCTAAAATTATGAATCGTTCATACTCAATGTATAATAAATGAGAGAGGTTCACGTGTCGTTCACTAAATATGAACGTGGATGTAATAAATGCGTGTTAACGAACGTGTTCTTTCCAAATACTTTTCAGTTTTTCACCTACTCTTGTAGTCATAATAATTAATAATATGTATGAAATTAAATAAATAGCAATAATGTTATACACTTATACATCACTAATTGATAACCATTAATCATTATATTACTCGTATATACTATGAGGTACTAATGATACCTAGTATTAACTACAAAGGATAAATTATAATATATGCCTATATAATACCCGCCTATACATTATCTAGAAATTTGTTGGTCCAAACTGATCTAAAATTATACCACTGATTGAGATAATAAACTAGATTGCCTACTACAACCACGGCTTCAGATTCTATCTAAAGCCGTGAGTCGTGACTACTGACTACAACTAAATAATGACAAGCAGAACGAATGCTTTTTCGACATAAAGGTTGTGGGCCGTGGTGTGTGGTATTTTATCAAGTCCGTCTAATAATAAATTACTTAGATACAGTATAGGCTCTCTATAAAAACAATGCATTTTTTTGGCTTCAGGTGTTATAACTAGTTAGCAATGTGGTTTATTATCTATATCCACGGTCTTAGAAGGTATCTTCTAAGACCGTGTCTATATCTGTGGAATTATCCCCATAGATAATAGATACATGGATAGGCCATGGCTATATCACGAATTAAGGTATATCTGAATTCGTGGGCTATATTAACACTATGGGGTCGCGTTATTTTTTGTGGGAGAGAGAAAACATCTTTAAAAATATTCTCTCTCCTGCATGGGGTACTATTTAAGGTTATGTTCAAACTCTAAATAAAATCGTAGATGTACATAAATATTTTAAAATAGACTAGAATCGTAATAATCAAACCTAACACAATATAATATAATTTTTAATTACCTAAGAGTTTTTAAGTTAGTATTATACTTTAGGTTTGCGCGCGATTAATATTTACCCCATGTAACCTCAAATTGATAATACTACAGGAATACATGATAAACTCCAATAGCGGCTATAATTGAATAGCCTATCCATCTGCCATCTCTTTATTATCTATGATTATCCCGACATAATATTGATATGGGTTAATCACAGATCTATAACTACAGTGGTATAGATATATCTATACTCTGTCTAGCGAGAGAACTCCCCTTGCACCGACCAAATATTCTACCATTGATGAACCTTTTTTATGATCGTGGTGACACGGAGGGATGCGCAAAACCGGAGTGTTCTTTCGCTGGACACAGTATAGTTATAGGGCTAATGCATCATGTCCGGAGTTAACTCTGCGTTCCCGAACGATGTTGGGTAACTATTTTTTTATAGAGTTAACTAGACTACTAGAGTTGAGTTTTGTTTTCGCACCTGTTCGAGCAATCGAATTTTATCTGTGTTGATAGGCTATCTATAAAATCATTATTTAGATTTATGGGAAAATCAAAGCTCGGATATAAGTAGGTACCTATAAAAGCATATGGATAGTTTTACCTCCCTATATATTTTATACAGGCTAAATTTTAAAATGAAAAGTAGGTATCTTACAAGGTTTTTAGGTATTATAGTATTTTCCTTACCATAGAAATGATCCATTTTAAATGATTTCTTCGTAACTAAAAGTTACAAGGTCACATATTATACAATTACACCAACATAAAAAATGAATGATAAACTATATTTCAATACATAAACTAAATACAATAGTAATAAATACCTAATTAAAATTCATAGTACAGTGGTACCGTTTCAAAATTTCAATAATATGATATCTGTATATTGACTATTATCTGATCTAAGTGCCTACCATGACTGCAGATATATATATAATTAATACCTATATGGCTATATAGATGGATATAAGTTATTTATTATCTATATTAGTAGTACCTACCTACCTACCGTTGTTTTTTAGGAATATGCTAGCAGTATAGGTGTATTCGCTAATAATTAGATATTTAGTATCTTGTTCCCTATTATTATACTTGATATTTACTATTTAGTAATTACTAATTAGTAGACAAGTGATTTGTTATTACCTCTACTATATTATAAAATATAAATTATATACGTATTACATGTCTATTGAAGTTGACATATTGTATTTATGACCATCGAGATCCTATGTAGGTACAATAATATTGTGTATTCTTTATCTCGATGTCCATAACATATAATTTTTTACAACTAAATAATTGATAAATGATTTTATATGTTATATTCACATACTTTAACGTTTAACCTATGTAAATAACTATCATTGTATTTAATATGTATAATTCCCTCTAGCACATAAGTTAATCTTTACATTGTACAACATGCCAATAACCTTAGTTGTTGCGGCTTAAATCAATAATAATAAAAAAAAAAAAATTGATAAATGAAAATATGTTTGTACCTATTTTGATGTAATATACAAAATATATATTTATAACATATACACTACACAGTATATACAGCAGTAATAGGTACAATGTTTCAGATGAATATATTGATTGTTATTTTTACAATGATTCGTTTTGTACAGGTACTCATGTATCTGTATTCGGTATGCATGACGAATAGTAGAAATGCTTCGATCTTCATCTTTAAGGGGGTTTCTGCATTTCTAGAAAATATATAGAATATATAGAAAATTAAAATTATTATTACCAACTTTAGTCTTTAGATAGGTTAATATTGAAAATTCTCAGTATTTTTCAAAATCATCAAGAAAAATAAAAAATTATGGAAAACAGAATTTTCAACCAAATCCAGTTTTTGAGAAAATTGATTCTATTTTTCTTGGTATTACTCAAGAACTTATACTTAACTATAATGTAACCATAATAACATTAGACATTTTAATATAAAATTCCCAACAAGTTTTTTTACCTTTAACAAAAATAAAAAAGTTTATCAGAGAGTTATGCTATTTATAAGTAACCACGTCACCACGATATATTTTCGATTTTTAAATTATTTAATTTGTTTAGGTATGAGTACGTATACGTACGGATGCTATAATAACACAGTCTATCCGTTCACTGCTCAGAATCGTTTTTTGTATACAATGATTTATCATTGAATTCAAATATTATACATCCATTACAATGACATGATTGACAAGCGACAACCACTTTACTTAGTATTAATTCGATGAAAAAACAATTTCGTTGGGTTGAAAATTTCGAAAATTGAATACATGATTTCTCATGAGTTTTATTTCCATTTAAAATAAATAAAGCTACATAGATAAACACGATATTTTTAAAAGCATTTGTCGCTCAAATTTTGATAAAATTCCATTTATATTATTGTTCGCGGAGCTTAAACTTTATTAAGTATATTAATTATATTTTATGTAATTACCTACCAATTAATAAACTAATTACTACCCACAATGACTCTTCCAAAATATTTTGATTAGGTTCTTTTTTTTTTTATTATTATAGCTTTGAGTAAACATTAGTATAGCTCGACAATTATAAGTAAAAATTACATTCAAAATTAATTAAAGAACATAGATATTAAATAATAAAGCCAGCATCCAGAATAAATTTAATAATGCTATTAAGACTAGACGATAGCACCTATTTTAGTACTGTACTGTAGCAGATCACCTTTTTTTTATTTAAAAATTATAATTTATAATTTTGTTGTATAGTTACAGGTTTTATAGTGGACCACTGTGTTTACTGTTTTCAAGTAAAGTTAACAGAGTTGCAGGTAAACGGGAAAACATGAGAGCACCACTTTGTTTTAATAAAATAATTTTTTTCTTTGGTAAGTAGGTATTCCTAAAAAATATTTTTCTTAAATTAAAATATACCTAAGATAAACATTTTTTTTAAACTAAATACTTATTCCTAAAAATGAAATTGTTATTATTATTAGTTTATTTTTAGGTAGTTACTTAAGAACATGGAATTTAATAAGTTTTCTGGTTCTTAAAAAAAATTATCAAATAGATTTTCTGAATCAAGAGAAAACACTATCTAACTTGGTTATATCAGACAGGAAGTTTGTATTTTTTTACATGATTTCATTCAAGATCTTTAAAGGTGTTAAGGGTCAATGTAAAACTATACCACTATGGCTTACATTTAACAGATTTAACACATTTAATCTGATACTTTGTGTACAGACATTTTATTCATAGATCTAAGTAGAATAATTGTTCTAATGAAAAATCTTATCCTTATCCAATATCCCTGGTCTTCCCCCACACCTGAAATGAAATGTGTTGGTGTCTGGTTTTGATCTAAAACTCTAAAAACATTATGGTAACCATATAGGTATAGATCACGTGTACCTACAGTTACTCTGATGGTCGTATACAGAATAGGTAATATCAGGCTATAGAACTATGTTTTTATTTAACTATTCTCTGTAGTAAATATTTTGGGCAATAAATAGAATACATGTTATCATCGAAAATATATGGTCTGAGGAACAACTACTGAAAGACTGGGGTGCAGCTTTAATCTGTGCCGTTTATAAAAAAAGAGACCCGCAAAAATGTAGTAATTACAGAGGTATTGCTTTATTCGATAGGACATACAAAGTCTTATCATATTGCTTACTAGACAAAATAGTACCTATAGCTGAAACTATATTAGGTGACTACCAGGGTGGGTTTAAACCCAATAGATCCACAACGGACTAAATGTTTAATCTAAAACAAATTATCCAAAAACGCTTAGAATTTGATAAGGATGTACACATATTATTTGTGGATTTTAGAAAAGCATACGACTCAACGACTCTATTCATAGAGAAAGTCTTTTAAACATCCTTACAGATTTTAAATTCCCCTAATATTTTATTAGGATTTTCTATTTCAGTAACATATATGAATGTAAATAACAAATTTATAATTTAAGTTGGGTTTATTAATGAATTTAATCTGAAACATTTTGAATGTAGAAAAGTCAAAAAGCAATAAAAAATTTTAAAAAATGCATATTTAGTAAGTAGTAGCAAAAAAAAATTAATGGTCAATTTATACCTACATAGCATAAAATATTAAAAATAGTTTATTAATATAAATATAATTATATGTATATTTAGATCAATTCTATTTATATTTATAATACAAATAAAACATGATTGGTATATTCCTGAGAATATACCTTTTATTCAGGTACCTAGTAATTATTACATCATTAAAATATTTCTTGAAATAACAAATTTAATAAATTATAAACAAAATCATAAAATAGGCTTGAGAAAAACAATTTCATGTCAGTTAAAAAATATTAAAATTTTTAATTGATATTTAAGGTTGTAATAAATACCATACATTTCAAATATAAATTACAATTTTATCATGGCAAGCAAAACCCTAGAATTAGTAATGACTTTTTTTGATACTTTTTTAATTAATTTACGTTTCTTTGCATCTTCTAATAAATCGGACCATACTCGTTCTCCCTATAAATATAATTATAATATTTATACACACATATAAGTACATAAATGCAGTAGTTACAGTAATCCTATACATATGGTGGATTGTTGAATTACTAGAGTTCACATTATAATAATTGCAATAAAATATCATCTTTCTTTTAGCCTGGTATGTTTTTTTGTCTTGCAATTTTTGGAAATAATATCTAATCGATTTATCAGGATTATCAAGTGAGTTTATTAACTTTATAAGATAACTGCTCATTATTATCTAATATATAACTATCTGGATTACTGGATGTATAGGATTATCATGTGGCCGGAGGATTACAGAAACTACTGTTTATTTGTTAAGATAAAGAAATAATTTTATAAAAATTTCTCACTCTTAAAGACATAAAGTTTCCACATATTATTAATGATTGCTTAGCACGTGTTAGAGCAACATTCAACCGACAAATATCATCCATAAATCCAACTCCATTAGTACGAACTGTTGATATCAATAAAACATCACATTCACCACCTTGAAATGAATCTATTGTATTGACATTTAATGAGATCTTCCTTTAAAAATAATTGTGTTAATAGAAAATTAAATTACACAAAATTAAATTTCTTACTTTTTCTTTAGCAATATATTTAATTGCTCTCTCTGTTTATGGTAAGGTGTTAAGACAGCAATGGTTAGTGATTGACATTCTGAGTTGAGCAAAATTTCTGCTAAACTTACAATCATATTTGCTTCCCCAATATTTACCTCACTTAAGGAATATAATAATTTTTTATCAGACAATTTTTCAAAATGTATAAAATATAATATACCCTGTATTATCTTGTAGGCTTTCATGTTCTAGGATCATGTATGGATGAAAAGGAAGTTGCTTTCTCATTTTGACAGATGGTGCAGTTTTAATTACACCTTTATAAAAGTATGTTGATGGAAATAAACAAATTTCATAATGCATTCGATATTGTGTATTTAACATCGTAACTGGAAAACTTTTCCGTGTAGAGCGCTTATGTTCAAACCAAGTCTTAAGTCGTTTGAAAAGAGAAATACCAAGACCATTATCTTTGGCTACCTAAGACATTTAATTTAATTATGTTATATGTTGTACAGATTTGGCAAAATAATTTTTTAGAAAAGTGCATTAAATTTCATAACAAACCTTGCTCTTTACTAATGGTTGAAGTTGTTTATCATCTCCAACCAAAATTAATTTATCAATGCCAAGTAGTATCGGAACAAAAATCAGAGGTTCTATAGATTGTCCAGCTTCATCTACAATACAAGCAGTAAAATGACAACTATTCAATGACCTATAACAATAAAAA